AGGCCAGGAACCCCCAGCCACTTGCACTGCTATAGAACCAATTCTGTAGCTCTGTCATGTTGCCTGACCTGTACCTGCCAGAAACTGCAGGATGCTCAGCTTCAAAAATTATTCAGGGCTACAAATGTAAAACCTGAAGTAAATAAACTTCCTTTTAAAAATAAATTGAGTATTTTAAATGTTCCTTTGAAAAACTAGATCATGTACATGCTCCTAAAATAAATACAAATAAATATATATATTTTTTTTAAGAAGCTTGTCAATTAGATATTGGTCAGAGGTCCCTTTTTAAGAACTTTTTATTCTTCAAAATAAAACCCAAACTATCCAGCACCCATCTCTAAATCTTTAATTATATCAGCTTTATAAAAAGTGAGAAGGATAGCAGATGTGTTAAATGCTCAAAATAAGAAGTGGATGTGAGCATTCAGCACACTTTTGGTGGTAGATCTTTCCCTCTCTTTCTCTTCTCCAACCCCTTCAAACTGCTTTTCAGGTCCCCCTGAAGTCATGGATTGTGAAATACCTACTTATGATGCTGCCATAGTGTGTTTTTAAAATGGTAACAACACAAACCATGGAATCCTGTTGGAATTTGGAACTTGCCTAATGGGGCAAGGTAGGTGCCTGTTTTACTATATTGCGTATTTTTGCATAGTTTATTTTTAAAATATTGCCCTCTGGGATATACAATAAAAACTTTGCAAAACTGCATAACATAGTAAACAAAAGGCACTTAACTTATCCCATTAAGCTGGCTCCAGTGTGCTAAAATCCTCATTTCACACCTTGTTCCTTTCCTGCCTAGACTTCCGCTCTCATCTTCCTTATCTGGTCTGCAGTCATCTTCCATCTTCATCACTCTTAAAATGATGTTGTTGCTGAAATCTCATTGCTCTGGTTCTGATTATTCCCCTCTTTACTAGTTTTTACAGTGCTCATTAAGGTCAAAACATCTCATCCTTTTATTCAGGATCCTACAGCTCTGTGCTTGCTGTTTCATTTATACTCTCTGCATAATTTCAGCCTTCCTCCTTAACTATCCCTGGTTTTCTCCTTGTACTGTTTTCTTTAAACCCTCTTCTATACTGTTCCTTAAACTCAGAATGGCTTCCCACTTCCCTCTTGTTCATGAAAAGGATCTGAAGCTGCAATGTTGTCTTTGAAATTCTTTTTAAGGGGATTTTGGTGATCCTTGTCAAATTACTGCTCTAGTGAACAGTCTTATTTTACCTCTTGTATTGTATGTAGAGTTTTATCTGCCTAAACTAGATTCAGGTTCTTTCTGGTGGCTCCATGGTACTTGTGTGCCGTCAGATGTACACACATGGGGCATGTCCCCACAAGCAGGAACGTGCATTTTTCCCAGGGCAAGTAGCAGTGGCACATGTTGTACTGCTGCTGCTTGTCCCTTGGGATCGCCTGTGCTGTGTATGCTCTGGGGCATAGCAGGTTACATGGGTGGGGTAGGGGAGGTGGCCCCAGCAGCCTGTCCTGGGGGCCTTCAGGGAGCTGCAGCCACAGTGCTTCTGCAGCAGGGAGCAGAGTGGGGTTTTTAAGACTTTTTTTATAGACTATCATACACCCCCCCCCCCCCCCCCCCC